TACATGGCTGTTTCTCTTTAACTGCTGATCTTCACTGGATTTTATTTTGAAATATCCTCTTACTTTAAAAAGTTCATCCTGAAAGGCTTATTTATTCCAAGTCTCCTCCTTACACGTAAGTTTCATTTCCGGATGCACAACATTGAATTAGATAAGAATGTCGGACATACTTAAGATGCATTCAGAGAGCATAAGTGTATCATCCATTTTATGTTTCAATAAATTTATCCACCGGATCATTTTCTACGTTACTTAGGAAAGCATTTCCTAATTTAAATTTCAGTGTTCATCCCATAGACAGCTCACCTACCTGTCTGCGGAAGTCTTCATGAAATTTGTAAGAAAGTTTCATCCTGCAGTCAGGCAGTAATTCTCTAACAACGGTCACTTGATGTCCAGTATTAAGTGTTTTCTTTTCACCTGTTCATAAATTTATGTGACTAATCCCATCCATGGGTTATTCGTAACACCGCTTCATCTGAGGTTATCGTGGTTTCATCTTTGGATTTACAATATTTTACACTTTACACAAAATCTCCCTCCCTTTGTCGATTTTGAGAAGACAAATTATTTGCAAGCCAATTTGCTGGAACAAGCGGACAAGAAATTCACAGGTCCTAAGTTAAACCCGAAGTTTATATTGCAGGTTCCAACCAAACACTTATTATCTACTGCACACTGTATGCGTTCTGGAAAATCTCCTGAATATCTGTTCCTCTGCTTTCCTTTCATAAACTCAGGGATTTTGACTTTCGTTCATTGCTGCTTCATTACACTTTCCTAGGGCATTCTGTTAGAAAAGTAGTTGAGCTCTATCGTCAATTCAAGTGTAATGTCTACAATATGCACTCAATAAGACTATTAAGTTACATAAGCGTATGATGAAATGTTTAATGTGTTTTCCAATCGACAAGAATCTGACAACACGCTTTCATCTAGTGCCATCGAGATTATCGTAACTACAATCCTTCTACCTAGGTGCTGATTAATAACATTTTACAGAAAAAGGCGGAGAAGAAGGGATTGTCAATGAGGAAATAATCGAATATTGCATTTAAAATCGACCACACAAATGGAGTATTTCGCTGACAAACTTAAAAACATACTTATTTAACAGTGTTATCCAACTTCAATTTTAACATGCCTCAATAATTTTTATTGATGAGGAATTGTTTGTTCAAGCAGAAATTAAGAACGTGACTTTTATTTGACTAAGATAGACAGCCTAGTCTACTTTGGAATGATTAACGTTTCTTCGACATTCTTCATCAAAAGTAAATATAATTTATGCTTGGTAAACCAGACATGCAATTGACTTTCTCAGCCCACAGTAAGTTATTAAGTATAGTGACCATTAGAATAAAATGGGTGAGTATCTTTCGAGAATTGACTATTTTGAAGGAGACACTAAGAGAATTAGATTGGGACCCTTATATAACCATTGATTAAATACATTATGTTCACCTTCGGCAATGCTTTACATCCCAGATTATGTTTGTAGGCTGATTTCGTCATGGGTATTGTTTATATTGAAAAATGAAAGGTTGTATAGTTCACGAGTTGCTCCTTAAATTTACGACTACCACATTCTGACCACTTTCTGGGCATTCAGGCATTTCAGCAAAAACTGATGGATTCAGAAAAGAAATATACATTTTTTTGATCAGCTTGTCATTAACAGTTACATTTCCCTTCAATTTAAATAAGTTTTCAAAAAAATCAAAGATCAAACTTCTGGCGAAGAGAGGTATTGCTTCATTTTATCTCAACATCCAAAGAATAACACTATTGCATTTTGTTTTTTATGGTATAAGTTTATATTCGGGGGAAACAACATATTTTATACTTTAGCTTTTTGTTACGACGTGTTTCAATCCACTTTTATACGTAAAGATATGTAGCGTTGCAAAGTAACAACCCAAAATGTTTTGGTTGCATGGGAACAGCAAGGTATCTAGTGGAAATGCATTACTATAATGCAGCCAGTTCATTTTTTGGTTTCGTGTACGTATTACCCTTGTTTAACCTCTTCATATACAGTCCTATTTTGGTTTACGATATGGGTAGAAGTTATGATGGGACAACATGTTTGTTGTTTGTGTCAGGTGACATCTCCCTAGAACTCAAATGGCTTACAAGCATTTGAGCACCTGTACTTTCCTGGAATATATTTCAGATTCATTTGCGTAACCAAGCTACCACCCTGCATGCGGAAGGACATTTTTTATTGTTTGAAACTGTTTGTGAATTAAAACACCAATCTCAGTTCCTAAATATGGTAATTTATTGACGATTTACTCTCGTTTAATGTCTTTTAAGTCCAGACTACCAGTGATTATAATGTTTAATTTATTAGGTTGCCATTAATTTTTTCCATAGAAATGCTTTGTAGCATTAGAATGAATGACTGAAACGGCAGTTACTAGCAATGGTTATTAACAAATCTCCCTCCAATTCTATGTTTTTCTCTTCAAAAATATGTTTGTCTAAGATAGTTCACCAGAAAGCAAAGGACAAAAGGGTACTAGTGAAATTTGAAACTTGTTAAGTAAAATAAAATAGGAAACACCTAGGTGATTCAAAAAGCCCGAAGATCAAAATCACTCGAATTTCAATGAAACTTAGGATAAATGCGAGGCTAAATTTAATTCCTATATTCAGCGGAAGTGACGATAATTTGTTGATTTTAAACAACAAAGGATGTGGATATAAAAGTGGGTTATTGACACTTTTAAACTCAATACAATTTAATTGTCCATAGTAGTGTATTGGAACAAAAGTGCAACACTGATCACAGACGTTTGTGAACTACTATGTTACTTTCAAGGTGCTGTTTTCGTTGAAAAACCTCATTGCTTGCATATCGGTTCATACATGACAAACCTCGACTATTAATTAATTTTTTGATAAGCCTGCCTAGTGATCTGATGTTTTTTGGTAAACATATACAGAATATGCTAATTAAACGTAGTGGATGATGTCATTCTTAATTATTCCAAACCACTGGTTGTGCAATCAAAAATATAATATTTGAACTTGTTATTGATTCTGGGTGCAAATGATGTGCTGGAATGCGTTGACTAATTTAACAACTCGGCAGTTTCCATCAGCCTAGCTTGTTAATAAATTCACACGGTGGATACCAGAAACTTGAGCCAGCGATATATCGGACTGTCTGTCATATGATGAATGAACCATAATCTAGTCTGTTTGATGAGGGTGAAAACATTAAATGACATTGGGTATCTCCATAGCAGCTTTCACATATACTTTAGTTCTGTCAACGATGGTAAGGTTAGACGTTGAATACTCGACAGAGCAGTTTATTCAGTAAATAACCTTAAAGATTTGCAGTGACTGAGGTGACCTGAACAGGCGTTGCATGTTCCAGGCCGCCAACTACCTTGACATGCAATTGTAACCAAGGTACAATCAATCTGAAGCAACTCAGAAAGTAGGTAGATCAACACTAGTACCAATGCATAAAATCTACTATTGTTGTTCTTAGTCGTCTAAGGAGCTATATGTCTCCAATCTGCAGACCTGAGGATGAATATATAAAGCATAACTCAAATTTGGCTATAGTGTACACGTGTATCTAATCTTTATCCTATACGAAATTATGAGTACCCCGGTAACCTTTAATTATTTCCTGTCACTCCTCCTATGCACCTCTTTTGATGGTAATGAATACTTTTCAATGCACTTCCATGACGTAAAAACCCCAGGTGATTTCCTTCTCTGAAGTTGCCTTATAAAAATTTTCGAAATTTTAAGCCTTAGACAGATGGTACCTAATTTTTTGACTTTCTTAAATTTAGGTTCCAGCAAATACATGAGTATTTCAGTCAAGTTACTCCTAAGTGATATTCTTTAAATGTTTGGTGAGCTAAGAAATATTTAGTGGTCAGTATACTTTAAACGGTGATTTTTAGGCGCTATCTGCTGGCTGATGTCACCTAACACTGGTCAGTGATACACTGCAAACAACATTCCATGAGCTATATGAAAACAGGTACTGCTTTTTGTTCACCTTTTTCCTTACCCGCAGTCCCTCATTTAATAACACTGCGGTTTGTGAAATGATGAATGCTTGATCTAAGTCTTGGTAGAAACAATACAGGTGACTGGAAACTCAAGTATTTGTAAATGACTTGTCTAACATCAGAGAATAAACCTTCATGAATTTTAATATGAATAAGTATTAGGATGTTAAGCTTACCCATGTGCCAAGAAAGGTCAAACATGCAATTTGAAATGAACATCAGTAGATTTCAAAACTGAGTCACATTCAAACAACCTTCATTTGTTTCTCGTAAAATTTTTTGTTCACTCGAAGCCTTTTAGACACAAACATTAAAATAATGAAATGTGAAGGTGATTTTGATCTCTAATTCTAGCGTTTCGTAATGCCATATGACACTTAGAATATCATAATTAAGTAGTTTGCGTTTAGAAAGAAGTATTCTTAACTATATTTTGTATTATTTACTATCTTGGTTACACACAGGCAATTTTCAGGTGTCATTTTTTTCACACTCCATATATTCTAAATTGATTTATGGTGAATTTTAAATTATCATGGAGTAGAAGCAAAGTGAAATTATAAAATCAAAATTTTGACCAGAAAATATTTGTCAGCACTGGATAGAGTATTTATTCATTATCTTCGTGATGTGTTAAAATTATTAAATTTCTCAAAACATAACCTTTTAATATGAAACGGAAATTCGCGATTTCATGCTTCCTTTCAGAATTGTAGCGAAGAGATGAAAACTGATGCGGTAAACAGGCTTTACTGAAAGCTAGAATCATATAAAATGTCAAGAAATTATGAATAATGGTGGAGGTATCATTTTGGTTGTAGGCATCGGTTATGCGTAGGCCAGTGTCAAGGAAATGAAGAACAACAACCATCGTAAGTGATAGAAGATAAGATTTACAGCCCAGGCTCTGACTTCCTGAATGCGATAACTGAACAGAAGAATGCAGATGCTTGAAAGAAAAGTGCTGACGTTATGAAGTTGAAATTAAAAGCATGTAGTAATATATGTGTATGCCATTGTATTCATTACTTACCAACGTATATGGAATGTTTACACATCTAGTGTAAGTCATATGATATATTTGTCTGTTCCCTTAACCCTTATAATGAATAAAATGAGGTTGGAGTCAATCAGAGAATTATAAACGTTATCTTAAGAATTACTTTTTGATGCAAATGAATACTTTCTTGAGTTGGGTTTAGTATTGTAAATTTCAGGTAGTTTACTGTCTTAATTTACCATAAATAATTATGCTGAAAAACTTCTGCGTTGTAAGCTAATTTTGGAAAAGCTTTTTAAATGTTTATTTTGAAACTATAAATAAATTATTTGTCTAGTTCACCTGACCAAAGTTAAAACCTCAATAAATGGATTCCACAATTATAATTGATTTTTACATACACTAGAACACCCAAGTTAGATATCTTTTCTAAAATTTGAATAGTAATGACCATGTTGACCTAGAGGATGTGGCTTCCTGGATCTGCGTCTTGATCAACTCATTGAATGTTTTATTTTCCCATCAGTCGAACATTGATAGCCTGTGCTTCGTTTGTTTACCTTAATTCAGTAGTAAACAAAACGGAACTCTAAAAACGTTTATCTATAAAAACCCGTTAGGGTTTTCGGTTAAACAAAGAGATGATGTTAAAATGAATATTCCAGTTAATACAAAGTAAAGTCAGATATGTGTCGGTGGACTGCTCACGATCCATACTGTTTAAGTGGGAATTCGGCGCAATTAAGTTGAGTATCTCCGTGAAGACAAGCTAGACAAGACTCTGGTTAGAGTCCCTGAGACAAAAGGAATTTGTGGTGGGCGACTCATGGTAAAATTGTAAAAATCAGTCAGAATGGTGTGATATATTCACTTAGTGATACCTTTTAAAGTCTAAACATTTGCACTTTCCGTTATCTTGAGATTTTGTATTATTTTACCCTACTTTATCTGCTCTCATGTCACTCTTTTTCCATCCACCTGATCTTTATGTACTGATGTGAAGTATGGCAAATTCAGCTTAAGTACGTGTACGGAGTTTTGACATTGATTTTGTCAGTCAGTCAGTCGCGTAAGCCGATCGCTTTTATAAGTCCTGCGATATTCCTATTTGAACCATTATGACCTTTGTTTACTGTTTTTTAAAAGACACCATGGTAAAATATCTACATCTTTTACTTTTATTACAGACTGAAAATTTGTCAAATGCAAGATTTGATTATTATTACTTAAAACTCATCGATAAAAGTGAAGGAGGAGAAACAGAAGACGCTTGGTTACCTCCATTCAACTGCCAAACAAGGTCAATTGATGCTACCGGTATCCAGTAACTTCCAATAGTCTACAGTGTATGAAATGAGGTATTCTATCTAATTCATTATCAGACAAAATGAGCATCTGGATAGTTATCACTTAATGTCCATTTAAGTGAGTTGTTCATGAATTCTTATCCCTACAGAGGCTTTTAGTAGTATCTTTCATTCAGTGGAAAAAGAAAACTGATCGATCGATACTCATAAAACATTATTATCATGTTTGAAATACAGTTGGGCATTGAAGTTACTTATTGAATTGCAACAAAAATACAAAAGTATGCAATCAAGACCATCGATACTCTTCAAAAGTAAATTGAATTCCGATGATTTAAAACATTCTATGAATGTTCTGCTGACGGCGATTTGAGACCATCGCCATTAAATATGGAAAGCACTCATAGATACTTTCGTATGTAAGACTATCATTGACTGGGCAAACTGATGGTTTTACAGACAAAAAAACTAGATGGCAGTGAGATTCAGAGATTTGTAGGTTAAATCTTGCATCAAAACACCTAAAAATTTCAATTGTTAGCTTCAGCTTTACTTACTTTGCATCCAGAAGCGTTTGAAACTCGTAAAAGGTGTTTGTCAAATGCAAAACTTCAAAATGTCTGTGACTGTCCTTAAAATATATCATATTTTCCTAATAACGAGGACTATGATCGACATGAAGTGGATTCCGATTTATGCCATGCAACTAAAGGTTATCTGCGAAATCTATTTCTTTAACACTGTTTCCACACTAGCGAAAAACCAGTGGTTTTCTGGAAAAGTGAAATTCAAGAAAATAATATTCTCTTTTCTGAATACTCATGCATTTCAGTCTTATCACGCAGTACTCTGTTCGGCGTCTTCAGTGTTTATTTTACTGTCTTCAGTACTACACTGGGGATAAAAATACATATATGATGCCCGTTACATGACGCAAATACAGTAAAAAACAATTTGTTGGAGTGTTTTTGTATGCTTGTTCGTCCAGCTTCCTGCTAATATCATTTTGTAGGAAATACTTGTTTTTGTCAGGTGTATCTCAGATTTATTCGATAATTGAGGTTCAAAGTAGGGTGTCACTCCTCTCTATATGAAATTTCATAATCCATTCCATTAGGCTTAAAATAAATTTTGGGAAACAACTTGACGTAATTTTACTGTAAGTGTGATAATCAGTGTGATTCAGCTCATTTTGTCAATGGCTCACAAAAGATGAAAACTACAGGGATGAATTTCACCGACATCTCTCCATAGATGTTCTAACTATCATATTTAGTAGACTTCAACTTTAGTGCTAAATTTGCTAGGTAATAACTTTCATAATACACCTAAATGTACTCTAAAAGAAAATTTTTTCCATTTCAGTGTCTCCCATAACCTGGTTTAATGAACAACACCATCTAATCCCAGTGAATACATGCAGTTAGAAGCTGTCGACAATCCCAGATAGTTCTTCCACTGGCATATTATCAGCGAAATATTTATTTTCTAGATACGCCTTTTTAATGAAAGCTGTACGAAATATACTACAGGTCGACATGGGTAGTTGCAGACTGCTCATGACGATCATCACTAATCTACTCAAACAGCTGGTCATAATTCAGATGATTTACATGGTTTGGCTATCTGGCTTGAATCAACCCAAGTATAAAGGTTATGAGATTCATCTCAAATGAGTGAACTGTCTATCTACTGTTTGGATAATAATGATTTTCCTAGCAATTACTGTCCGTTAGTGTGAGTGGTTTGCGGCTGCTCACTTTAATCAGTGATATATTTCATGTTGCTTTCATGTTCATAGCTTTCACGCCAGTTCAGGAGTCAAACAGATGACATTGCGTGAACCAAGTATTTTGTTTTCTATGGGAAAGCACAGTTCGATTCAAAATAGAAAGTTATTGCACATTGTGCTGCTTCCAAAGAAGTGTTTATAAAAATATTTCCACGTATTTAAACTGCTGAAAACCTCAATAAAGTCAGACTGTGGATCATTTCAATTCACCTTCGAACTGCATTTCAATGAACATTTATTTCATATTCTCTCATATACATGTATACACAGAGATTTTAGTGAACAGTTATTTTGATATTTGAATATTCCTGTTGCCGGCTATTTCAGTGTGTATATATCAGCTCTTTTTCTACAATGGATTCAGATTGATAAGTTGTTGCGACAGGGATATTGTTCAAAGTCTCTGCCAAGGCCTGCTAACATGATTCAGTAGATTGAATATTCCCATTCAGACACTTAGAAAAAGACAGATTTAGCGAGGAAATGTATTTCGAAACATCACCATATGATTGGTAGTTTAATTAAATTGTAAAACTATATATTAGTGCAGAGCCTAAGATGAAGACCTGATTGAAAAGGAATACATTTCTCCGCTCAATCAGTCTTTTTCTACCATGGTTCAGTTAATTTCAGTCTAGATTAACTGTGAGACGCTTATAGAATTTGGCAAATTTATAAAGGTATCAATATAAAAAAACAATAACATCTAAAACGTCTACTTTCCATTGCTCA